AATTATTGAGCCTGTGAGACACTGTATCGCTGTCGATCATCAGCGTCCGCTTCTTTGTCCAACGACGGTAGCAGCTCGCGTACATCTTCTTCTTGAGCCGACACGCTCGATCACTCATGTCGTTGCGCGATGGGACAACCCCGAGTTGACGGAGAAGACGACGAAGACCACGGTGGAAATTCTCGCTGACCTACAAGCAGGTGGGGTGCAGTCAGCCGTTGTACTCGATACTCCTTTGTCTAATAAGAGTCTTAGGCAGCCCTAAGACGGAGATGGCGGAGGCTCAAGGCAACTTGCTGACCAAAAGAAGAGAAAGGAAAAAAATCACAACTATCAAGTCTCCGACGAATACGACGGATACGTCGTCACGGAATGTCTCGGCCTCTTCTTCTGTGACAGCCGTCACGCGGAAACGATGGTTTCTTCTCGAGCGTCTACCAGTGGAGCGTATTGCATTGGTGGAGTCCACGATGCGTGAATTAAAGGAAGATCCCCACAAGGAAAAGAAACGCGTCGCTGCACTGGAGGTGCAGGTCGGCAAGCAGCAGAACGAGATCAAAGCGAAGAAACTGCTTTTTCTATATAGGTAGTACTGTTGTAAAAACAAAAAGAAAACGCTTGGATTTTAAGACTCGCAAAAACTAGTTTGGTTTGGTTGGAGCAAAGATGGTAGTCAAATCAGGAACTCTATTGTCAACACGTACATGTGGAAGTTTATTTGCTGTGTACTTCTCCGAGATGCTGACTGTGCTGATGTCGGCTCGACCAAGTTGGCGTAGATGCCATTGAACTTCCCATACACCCGAGAGATCACGTGATCTGTGTTTGCATCGTTCAAATAGTAGATCTAGGGTTTCAACAAACAAGCTAAGATCGAATGGGCTGAACACACTATTAACCCTTTCTCGGACACAGTGACTTTGTATACTTTACAAATACAAGGTGTTCGGAGGCATTTTGCTCCATCGCCGTGTATTTATCTGTGCCCAACGAAGTGGGTACATAGTGACAGGAGGCAAAATGCTACATCGATAAATCAAGATTCAGAGTTCCGCTTGGTCAAAACATAAACCTCATGAAGAAGTCTCAATCCAAATGGACATCGGGTTCGGGACGGGCATCCTGAATCAGGACTCCTGATTGGCCGCTTGTGTTTTTGAAGCGATGCAAGGCTTCCACAGAAACCCATCCCACAGGAGTGGATCTCGCATATCTCCACTATATCTTTCATGAGCAGGCATGTGGGCCATTCCAGGCTGCTTGCAAATGCACCCAAGTTTTAAATTCAGTAGTTTTAACGATAAACCAAATGCCCAGGTTGTATTTACACGGGACGGGACATAAAATATCCAGGTTGGGTCTCCATCGAGAACAACCCCTAGGCATACACGAAGGCTGAATACTCTTCTTGCAAAGCTATTATGTTCAGCTGCAAGAGTGACGCCGGTATTTATTACCGCATACTCGACGATCCGTCACCGTGACTTTTTCTTAGACAAAAGCAATATCTAAAAAGCGATCTTAATGAAGCCAAGCCTTAGCACATGTGGATAATAGCTATTAGAGGCGAGCTTTTCAATTTTTCGTTGGTCAGCTCCCACGCGTTCATGAACACAATATTACTATACTAAATAAACCCTCGACAAATTCTTCGACTAAAGTCCTAACGGTGTTCTAAATGTTCAACACTCTCTAAAAAGTGATTCTCTCAACTGACCTGTGCAATGCGCGCTCAAAGCGAAATTCATTGGTGGACTTGCCTTCGCAAAAATATTGCGCGGTTTGTTTGGCTACGCTCGCTTCCATCTGCTCACCTTAGTTAACATCCAATTAAAAAAAAATTAGGATACTATAGGGAAGTTTAAAATTCCTAAAATGTCGTACATTTTGAATGGAAAAAGTTGCTGTCCTCCCAGGCCAAAGTATCGCCTCTAGTGTGGTGTATTACATGTATGTCATGAGTCACAGG